GAAAAAGAGGAAGACCCTTAGCAAGATGGATTGGCACAGTGGCAGCAGCAATGGGATCAAGTTTAACAACAACTGTGATGTTGATGCAGGACCAGGCAGTGTTTCGTTCTGTTATGTATCATGCTATATATAATGAGTTCGAATCAACTCAACAGCACCTAACAACAACAAAAGAGAACTTTGTAATATTGCCTGAGCCAGGCCAAAGAGCCTGAGAGAGCTGCCTGTGGGTATGGTACGGAAAAAGCTATCCTTGACAAAACCCTGTATCCTGAGCATTTTCTGAACCTGCAACTGTAACCTGTTAACTTTTCTAATAAACGGTATTCACATGAGTACTGTCTCTGAGTTCTGTGTGGCCAATGCAATGAATTATTGAAATCAGCTGCATTGAGAGTGCTGTAATTACCAATCCTGTAAAGGGATGACTGGTGCCATTTTTTGTACCTCTGTCCCTACTTTCCTGAGTGGCATCAGGTCATTCAAAACCCTTAGAAATCAGTCTGTCAAACTTCCACCACTCTTCCTGACATGGCTTAAGCTAAGTAGCTCCTGCTCTGGGAAGATTCTATAACTGACTCTACCTTCCTGCTCACCCAAGCAGAATCAGATGCTGCTTCCTCCTCTGTGTCCCCAGAGGCCCTTGTCCAGTTCTTTTCCAGAGCATCTACACAGCTGTAATGATCTGTTTCCATATCTGTCTCCTCCATTAGTCTGAAAGTCTCTCAGGCAGTTCCAGTTTGCCTGCTCCATCTTAGGGTCCCCTGAGGTGCCTGGTCTTATAGATGGTAAGTGGCTGTGAGGCAGGTGTTATCTCACAGATCAAAAAACTTAGGCTTCAAAAGGCAAGGTAACATTTGTTGTAGTTGTTGGTAAGTGCCGTCAAGTTGGTTCCAACTCAAAGCGAGCCTGTATAGGGTTTCCAAGGAGCGGCTGTTGAGCTTGAACCGCTGACCTTGTGGTGCAAACCAACAATGCAGTCCGGCGTATTAACCCGCAGCGCCACACTGGGATTCCTGAGGTAACACGACCAAGGCAAACTAGGAAGGGGTTTCAAAAAGTTTGTGGAGGGATGCCATTATCTTTTAATTCCATTTTCCACAAACTTTTTGAAGCCCCCTGGTACAGATAGAAGGAGAGGGAGAAATGAGTAGGTCAATGGTTTGATTCTTGAGGCTGGGAGGCTAGAGCAGGGGGTGCAGATGAATGCTGGGTAAAAAGGCACGTGAGAGTCATATAGCAGAGCTGAGATTTAAACCAGGCTCTTCCTGAAGATGAAAGATGTGACCTCTACCAGTCTGTGCTAAGCACCTAATCCAATAATGTGGAAGTTTACAGGAGGACATATCAGAGTGGACCAATCAGGAGAAACTTCCTGAGAGAAGGAGGCCTTGAAGGGTCTGAGGATTCAGATGGGAAGAGAGAAAACATGATGGTATTTTAGGCAGGGTGGGGTGTGGGCAGAGGCAGAGTTAAAAGGCCTTTAGGTGGGAGTTAAGGTTCCATCTTGGTGAGGAATGATTTGATGGGGGATTGATTATAAGTGTCAGGATAAGAGTTTGATTTCTTTATATAATAAGTCATAATGAAAATTACCAATCATGGATGAACTACCATATACCAGGGACTTTTATAGACATCTCTAATCCTTATACCACCCTTGTGAGGTAGGTGTTACTTTATTGTTGTTGTTAAGTGTCACTGAGTAGGTTCTAATTCAAAGTAGCCCTGCATAGGGTTTCCAAGGAGCGGCTGGTGAGTTTAAACCACCAACCTTGTGCAAACAGAACTTACAGCCCTGTGCTTACCCTACAGGACTTCAGGTGTTACTTCACAGTAAGTAAGAAAACTGAGGTTTAGAAAGGTAAGGTAACATGTTTAAGGCAAAGTACAGCTAAACAGGTGGAGGAGCTAGAATTCAAACGAAACCTGGGTTGACCAAGGTGGCCTTTCTATTACTCCATGCTGCCTCCTAATGGTCGAGTGAGCAGACGGATGGTGTTGTCAGAACATCCCTCAGTTCTCCAACGGGAACTGCGGATCAGAGGGCAAGGAAAGCTGCCTCCAGACCACTGTAGCTCTAGCCCTCCAAATCCCTGTAGACTAAGCAATTTCAAGGAAAAGAGCTCTGTGTAGACTTCATGAACGTAGGCTGACCCCTGTGTCTTACACCTGCTTTGGACCTCATGAAAAGTGCCCCTCTGACACCAAGTATAACCTCAGAAAGCTACATGGTCAGGGAAAAAGCACACCTACCTTCCCCAATATCCCCTGGAGAAGGTCAACTTAAGCCAGAAGACTTTGGAAACATTATTGGCAACAGCCCCTCAGATAAGGGAGCAGGGTTTTGCCTCTTGGTTGGCTGGTCACACACACAAGCAGACCAAGAGAGGTCAAGGGGGAAGGAGGTCAGAAGTTGGCAAGCCTGAAGCCCACTTGTTCAGGTTGAGGATGGAGAAATAAGTGGGTTAATGGTTTTGGTCTTTGAGGCTAAGAGGTTAGGGTAAGGGATATAAATAGATGTTGGGTAAAAAAGCAGGTGGGAGAAATGTAAAGGCTGGGGCTAAGGGTATCTGTTCCAAGTCACTAGGCAAGAACCATGCCCCTGGGACAGCTCAAAGGGCTGGCCTAGTCCTGGGGTGGGGAGGATAGGAGGGATTTTCATAAAAGGCCCAATGCCCCTTCATTTCAAAGATGTTTGATCTGTAAGGCTGGAGAGAAGGGTTCCTTTTAAAGTGAATTCTCTATCTATTTGGGAGTTGAGGGGAAGGGAGTAATATAAACTGTTGGACAATGGCTGATATATTGATTGATTTTAAGGCATGGTAGAGAGAGACTCTATGGTAAATGCTCTATTTCTTAGCTACAAATATTTCACCAGAGAGCTTGCCAAAGGACAAACTGAGAAGCATCCTGCTTGGGGACATTTTCTAAGTCTTGGTTTCTTTGAGCCCAGAGTGAGCTATAATGCTAAATATCTGCTATCTAGGACCTGTCAGCATATCCATGAGTAGTCCTGTCATTTACAGTGTACGTACCCCTATCAAGGCACATTCTGGTGGGATGGGCCAAGTTTGGGTTTTAAGTCAGTGTGGCTTAGGCTGACTATAAGTGTTAAGATTTGGGTTTACTGGGAAGCTCCTCCAGCCCAATCACATCACAAGGACTAGAAAAAGACCCAATCACTGTGGATGCTGGGTCTGCAGAGGCAAGGCTCTAGGACTATAAGAACTTTATGTAAAATTGGCCTTTTTAAAAATTTTAATTGTGAATTGAATGATTGTTTGAACATCAGTTTTACACTCATCATTTCATTGCAATGATTACAATCTCCTCCATGCATCTTCAACAACATTTGCTTCTATTCCCTCTGTTTTCGTTTTTTTTTGGCGGGGGTGGGGATGTACACAAAAACACTCAGGAATATATATGTGAAGATTGGCTTTTGAAAAAGAAGTTGAGCTGCAGATAACAATTGGTAGAAACTACAGAGAAGAAGATGGCAGGTCCTTAAAAAGGAGAGGTTTCAACCAGTCAGAACTGAACTAAGATAAAGATAGTCTGGACTACCCAGGGAAGAAGACTTGTCAAATTTGTCACTGACAAATCCAAGGAAATGACACATGACCAGCTACTTCTGGTGGGGTAGGAGACAGAGAATAAAGGTGGCCCAGAGAACCTCTGAGGACCCTTCCAGCACTCAAGTTCTATGAAGAATGACCGACCCCTCACAAGGAAGACCCAGGGATCCATCTCTAAAAGAGAATCCCTATATCCTAAAGAAATGGCAGCATAACAGGCACCTGGGAAGATGCTTCTCTCCCTATCTTAAGGAGAATTTGTTGCTAAATGCTGTCAAGTTGGTTCTGATTCATAACGATTCTGTATAGGGATGCCAAGGAGCCGCTTGTGAGTTTGAATGGCTCACCTTGTGGTCTATGTTATCGCACACCAGGACTCCACAGTGAGATTAGGGTGGGACCAAAGGGAAGTGGGGCGAAGGAAAGTGCTGGCTGGGGAAGTATCCAGCTGGGTGGCAGGTTAACTAACTCTTCATAAGATCTACAGGATCAGACCAGCCTGGGTTTGTGAAGGCAGGCACCTGAGCTTTGAATGGATTTAAACTTGTTCAGTCATGGCCAATGTTGTGAAATAGCAATGAACTTGAATTTGTAAAATGTGGGTGTACTGAAACAATAACTAGAATGGGAAAAATATGAGTCAAGGCCCTGAAATGGGACTCAGAAGAGGCACAGTGAACCTTTTCAGGAAATTGATGCAAGATATCAGGACCATGAGAGCAGTACATAGTCAAAGCTGCCATCTTTGAGCCAGGCACAGCTGTTTATGACTCTGTTGATCAAGAGATTTGGTTGCAATACATACTCTGCCCTTGTTTTCTAAGAAGGAGACTTGAATTTCTAGCAGGGTGCTGACCTGTAATTTATCCTGTTCTGGTATACCCACATTTTACAAATCCAGGTTGTTCCTGGTTGGTTTTACTTGGTCAGTGGTGACTGAACCAAGAACTGGTTTGAAACCTGGAAGGCACAGGCTGTCCCATTGTCTTCTCCAGTGATAACTGATGCTTTCCAAAGGGAGGTTATTTAATCAATCCACAAATATAATTTGAGGTGTACCAAGAGCTAACTAGTACACTAGGGGACACAGGATTAAAAGCGCAGCCATGGCTCTTGTTTTCAGGGAGCTCAAAGTCAAGTTAAAGAGAAGGCTACTGAACAAATGAACATGTGCAAACAAGTAGGATGGGGCGGTGCATCTCTCTCTCTCTCACACACACACAGAAGATACACCCCCTAGAAGGGTAAGTCACATGTGTACAAGTCACTCATGGACTGCAACCACTCTCAAGGCATGTCCATCCAGTGTTGGGAGGGTCACAAGGCTTTGGGAAAGTATCACATTTGCAGGGTGGAAATGCTCCAAGTACTCTCTTCCCCTGCCAAGCCCACCCCACCTTATCCAGCCCATGTTCTCACCTCCATCAAGCAGCTCCTTGACGGTGCGGTAGTCATCAGCAAGGACGGCGTAGTGCAAAGCTGTGCAACCTTTGAAGCTGGCGCGATTGTTCAGCCGGTTGTTGAAGTCATCCTCTCGGGTGACCAGGACTGGAGGGGCAGTGACACAAACACTTCCATTAGAAACATACGCCATGATATGAACAGCCAATTTCACCGTCTTTTTCTCGGCATTTTAACTTACTATTCACTTACTTATCTACCCACTTACCAAATATACAATGTCACCTACTGTGTGCCTGGCCATCTGTGCTGGCAAGAGGAGCTGCCACAGAGACCAGCTCAACAAATCTTTACTGACTGTGTTGTACTTCAAAATTGGTTTGAACTGCAAGGTTGGTGGTTCAAGCTTACCAGCTGCTCCTAGGAAATCCCATACAGGGTTGCCATGGGTCGGAGCTGACTTGATGGCACATAACAACAACAAAAATTATGTGTTAATGGAGTCCTGGTGTGGCATTGTAGGATAAGCACTTTACCTCAAGGCTGGTTTGAACTGCAAGGTTGGTGGCTCTAACTCACCAGCCTCTCCTCAGAAACCCTGTACTGGAACACTGTGAGTTGGAACCAACTTGATCGATGACACTTAACAACAACAACAACAACAAAATTATGTGTTAGGAGTCCTGGTGTGGCACTGCAGGATAAGCACTAGACTGCAAGGTTGGTATGAACCACAAGGTAAGTGGTTCAAACTCACCTGCTGCTCCTCAGAACCTATATAGAATCGCTATGGGTAGGAATCGACAAGACAGAACTTACTAACAACAACATTATGTGTTAGGAGTTCTGGTGTGGTGTTGTAAGATAAGCACAGGACTACTAACCAAAAGGTTGGCAGTTCAAACCCACCAGTTGTTCCTCAGAAACCCTATACATGGCTTCTATGAGTCAGAACTGACTCAAAAGCACTTAACAACATTATGTGTTAGGACTTGTCCTGGGGACATAGAAATAAATCAGATATGGTCCATGGTCCATGACCTAATCTGATAAGAGGTAGACAATGAACAGATGTTTAGAGTACTGTTTGAGATAAACGCTGTTAGAGGCATAAAAGGATAATAAAGGAAGCCAGAGAAGTTTTATCTCAGCTTGGATATGAAGAGAGGACCCCAAAAGATGAGTCTTGAAAGGGTAAAGAGTTATCCAGGTAAAGAGAGATTAGATCAAATGGAACAGAGATGGATTGGGAGATAGGAGGCTATTCTTAGCCAAAGAATACTCATCTTTTTCTGCTCTCAAGATGTTTACAATCTACTTAGTATTTAATATTTATTTTTAAAGGACTTCTGAAATTTATAAAAGCAAGTAATTTTTTTATTATTATGGAAGAGTACAAAGAAGAAAATACAAGGCAGCAATAGTATTACCAGTTTAAGAAATTATACATATATAGATATAAGTATATATAGTTGACATGAACACGGTGACTCAGTAGGGTAAGCACTAGGCGGTGAAGCACAAAGTCTTTGGTTCAAGCCCACTAGTTGCTTCATGGGAGAAAGATGAGGCTTTCTGCTCCCACAAAGATTTGTTGTTGTTAAGTGCTGTTGAGTGGATTCCGACCCATAGCGACCCTGTACAGGGTTTCCAAGGCTGTAAATCTTGATGGGAGTAGAAATCCTCATTTTTCTCCCGCGAAGCGGCTGGTAGTTTTGAACTGTTGACCTTAAGGTTCGCTGCCCAATTTGTAACCACTACACTACCAGAGCCTCAGAAACCCTGTATAGGGTTGCTATGAGTTGGAACCGACTTGACGGCACTTAACAACAAACAACATAAAATCTACAATCATGGAATTTCCTGTGTGTATAACTGTATAATCTACTTTTTAAATCCTTAATAAATAGACTGTGCATACTTTTTTTTTTTTTTTTTTTTTTTACGGTAAGAAGATAAAACTCCCAAGATCATTCTGATACTTATATTCCTGACACTTTTGGCTTTGCATTAAAAAAGTCTAAAACCACCACTTCTCCAAGGCCCTCTGGGTTGAGTGACCACATGTTCCCTTCTACACAGGATAGTCCTGGCTATGTGTGTTGCTTTGAAGAGTCATTATTTACATGATAAACTGGAATGTTATCATACCTCAGGGGCCCTCCCTGAGGATCTTTGACCCTACAGACCAATATTCTGTTCCGGTGGTACAGTTTTTTTCTGCCTCATGCTGAGATTTTTTTAATCTGGCAATAAGTATGTGCTGCATGTAGAAGTTAGCTGAGAAACTGTATCATGTTCCTGTCTGAGTGGGTTTGTTGTGGTGGAATGTGGGTCCTACCTACATGCATAACTCTTCTCCCCTAATCTGTGGTCTAGGATCTCTGCAAAGAGCAGGTTTCTCTTACCTCTTGTGGATAAAAGGGTAACTTAAATCAAGAGGTAACCTTGCCTAGGTAGTCAAAAGCACCAGACACTTGGAATAGAGTCCATGCATTTTCTCCTCTTGCAAACCTAAACTATTATTTAAAGTCCTAAAATTCAGAAGGCTGTCATGCCTCCTCCTTTCCTTAATACTAATAGATTTCATTTATTGACCTCCTACTCTGGTCACTTCATACAATAAATCTGACTCAGCTCTCTAAACTACTTTGTTTTGTTGTTAGGTGCCATGGAGTTGGTTCCGACTCATAGTGACCCTATGAACAACAACAAAACACTTCCTGGTCCTGCGTAATCCTCAGAATTATTTTATGCTTGAATTCATTTTTATTGCCACCATGTCAATCCATCTCATTGTGGGTCTTCCTCATTTCTACTGATTCTCCACTTTAGCACGATGTACTTCTCCAGGGAATGGTCCCTCGTGATAACATGTCCAATGTATGAGAGACAAAGTCTCGCCATCCTGGCTTCTAAGCATTCTGGCTGTACTTCTTTCAACACATATTTGTTTGTTCTTCTGGCAGTCAATGGTACTTGTAATACGCTTCGCCAACACCACAACTCAAATGCATCAATTATTCTATAGTCTTCCTTATTCAATGCCCAACTTTCACAGGCATATACAGTTACTGAACATACTATGGCTTGGGTCAAGTGTTCTAAAAATGACATTTTTGCTCTTGAAATTTAAAGAGGCTTTAAATGCAATACACCATTTGATTTCTTGATTACTGTTACCATGAGTGTTGAAAGTAGATCCAAGCAAAATGAAGTCTTTGACACCTTCAATCTTTCCCTCATTTATCATGATATTATTTTTGCTCCAGTGATGAGGATTTTTGTTTTCTTTACACTGAGATGCATACCGAAGGCAGTGATTTTCATTAGTAAGTATTTTATGTCCCTTTTACTTTCAGCATGCAAGGCTGTATCATCTGCATATCACAGATTATTAATGATTCTTCCTCCAATCCTGATGCCATATTCTTCTTCATACAATTCAGCTTCTTAGATTATTTGCTCAGCATACACACTGACTTAAGTATGCTGAAAGAATACAACCTGGGTGCACACCTTTCCTGATTTTAAATCATTTAGTGTTTCCTTGTTCTATATGAATGATTGCTTTTTGTCCCATGTACAAATTGCTCATGAGCACAATTAAGTGTTATGGAATATTCATTCTCCTCAATGTTATCCATAACTTACCGTGATCCATACAATGGAAATCCTTCTCATAGTCAATAAAGCACAGGTAAACATCTTTCTGGTATTCTCTGCTTTTAGACATCTGATATCCCTCGTTTCATAGCCTCAACTGATCTGCTTGAGCCTCTGGCAGTTCCCTGTCCATGTACTGTTGCAGTTATTTTTGAATTATCTTAAGTAAAATTTTACTTGCATGTGACATTAATGATATTCTCCAATGACTTCTGCATTCGGTTGAGTCTACTTTCTTTAGAATGTGCACGAATATGGATCTTTTCCAATCAGTTGCCTAGTTTAGCTGTCTTCCAAATTTCCTGGCAGAGATGAGTGAGTATCTCCAGGGCTGCATCAGTTTGTTGAAATATTTCAATTTGTATTCCATCAACTGCTGGAACTTTGTTTTTTGCCAATGTCTTCAGCGTACCTTGAATTTCTTCCTTCAGTACCATTGGTTCTTGATCATCTGCTACCTCTTGAAATGGATGAACATTGGCCATTTCTTTTGGTACAGTGTCTCTGTGTATTCCTTCCATCTTCTTTTTTTTCAGTTTTCAGATTTCATTTTTTTTTTAATCGGCTCCATGAAGGGCACCCTAGACACATGAAACACAACAGAGTATTTCTTTCTTCCAGCATTAATGCAGAGAATGTTGATCTTTATGCATTCCATTTCATTTTTGACAACTTCCAATTTTACTTTACATGGTGGTGGTGGCGGTATGCTGTGGAGTCAGTTCCAACTCACAGAAACCCTGTTTATGGTTTCCGAGGCTATAAATCTTTATGGGAGCAGAAAGCCTCATCTGTCTCCCTCAGAACTACTGGTAGTTTCGAACTGCTTACCATGAGATTAGCAGTCTGACTCATAACCAACCACTTAATTCTCATTTATAGACAAGGAACTGGAAGCACTGAGGTTGGTCATACAGTTAATAAGTGGTTGAATGAGGAGTAGAATCCAGGTCTGATCTGTTTGAGTCCTCATTTTTTCTTTCCATCATATTACACTGACACCCTCATTATACAAATGAGTGATTCCGAGCTCAGAGAAAGTAGCATAGTGTGCCAGATGTTCTGGTCCCAGCCTTGGCTCTTATCTCTTCTTCTTTCCCTGTTCAGGTGAAGGTGCACACATAGATTCTATGAACTTGCCCTTAAAAGAGAATGGCCTGCAGTATGTAGCTAGCACCTAGATACCCTAGACTGGGTGGAAACATTTCAAATGTTTGGCAAAAGTGAATTTGGTGGCATGTGTAGCTGGAGAACAGACCACTCTCCTGGACTACAGTCCATGGTCCATCAGCTCTTCTCATCCAGGCAGGGACTCTCCAGATGATGGCCTCCCTCATCCTTCACCCCCACTCCAGGCCCCTGGGTATTATCTGACCTCTCCTGGAGTATTGAGAACAGGAAGAGGGCCTCTGAGAAGCTAACATAAAAGTCTCATGTTCATCTATATTGTTCCCATAAGAGAGCCTCTTAGGACCTAACTC